CACTTCTACAGAACTTGAAATTTGCATCCTGGTTATAGAAAATGCAAGTAAAGCTAACAATATTTTTACACTTAGTTCCTTATTAGACAGAAATTTATTACAAGTAACATCACCCCACTCTCATGTGTAAGCACTAGGAAATGAAAAAGAAGATACAGTGTCTGCCTCAAACTTAAGTACAATGAGTTTTAAAGCCCAGATGCAAATTACTTGACCATTAAAATAATGAGATTGTTAACAAAGCCAAATAGGAATAAATAAGAATATATTGGAGAGAAAAAAAGCACTGACTGGAGATAGGGACAAAAGAGTTCTTCTCTCTGCTTGGTCATTAATTTACTATACCACCTTACCTGATTATTTAGCCTCTCTGGGCCCCAACTTCCTTGTTTTACTATTATTTTTAAAGTCCCTTCAAACTGCATGCTAAGATTCAACATCTGTAGCACTATCTAGAAAACTGATTTACATTCAGATCCCCTCCCCGCCAAAAGAGGCACATTTAACTTGATACTTTTAAATATCTGAGTTTGGATTTCTATCAAAGGCAATTTATTAAAATGTCACATGAGCTTAAGTCCACTTCAAGTGGAGAACTAAAGGGTTTTGCTTACGGATTCAAGTTTCACCTAGACAGCAGCTGCTGCTATTGAGAATAGATTTTCTTTAACAATCTAGTTGAAAATTACACCTCTTTACAAATGCTGAAAACTAGTAAGGGTGATTTTCATGGTCTCAAGAATGCAGATGCATAGCTTTTCTTTTTTTCCTTTTCCATATTCATCATGTTGGGAGAAAGGAATGTAGAAGGGCCAGTTTGGCTTGGGAGGCAGAGTATAGATGCTACAGTACAAACCCAGACAAGCCCCTCTCAATTGATGTACTGTACTAGACAGCCCATTCTTCTAATTAATGCTCACGACTCAACTGAAAAGAAAAGATTTCTTGTGGCTGGGATGGGAAGAAGCCTGGACAAGTGAGGAATACCATCTGACAAAGGCTAGCCTAATGTCTAAAGACTCATTCTCAAGATGGGATTCAGATCATTCTGGAAAAAGCCAATAAAATGAAAATCTGTGGCTGAAACCAGTTTGATTAAGCTATGATTTGTATCTATTTATAACTTTTTAAAAAACACACATTTTGAAAGTACCTTTTGATAGAGACACTATTTACTTGTATAGTACATTATATACATAGCAAATTTAATCCTCAAAACATTCCAGAAAGCATTTTAAACTCATTTTACAGATGAAGAAACAATGTGAGAGGGATTAGGGATTTGTCCAAAAGCAAATGTTTAGTAATTGTCAGAGCTTTGTCTTAAACCCAAGTCTGACTTCAAGTCTTCTTCCAGTCTTTGTATTTTAAAATGGTACCTCTGACCAGTTTTCAGTCCCTACTATTTTGTCTGATTTAATAAATTTTATTTCTCACAAAATTGTCCCCCCCCATCTGTTCCTCCTTTGGCTTCTTAAAGCATTCTATGCATAATTCCCCCAAATACTTACACACTTACTGGATTTTCTAATTGTCAATTTCCTGTTTCCCCGTTAAATTCATTTCTTCAATAGCAGAAACTGTGTCTCACTCTTTATAGATGAAAACCACCACACAAGTATCTTCACTCCCTGTGGTCTCCCCAGCTGCACTCACTAACTCCATCCAACTCCCTCTTCCTACCAACAGGAACCCTCCACAAAGCAGGGTGTTCCAGGGGGTCTAGAACACAGTAAGTGATTAATAAGTGTTGGCTGAATGGATAGTGGGTGGGTGGATGATACAATACTCAAGTATTTTACAGCACTTTACAATGCACACATTTACATATTTCCTTCCATGCAAGTCTAAAACTGTGAATTTGACAGTGATTATTAAGTTTTCTCTTTCTGAAATGTGGTTTATCTTTCTCAATTTCAGAAACTTGCCCAGAGGCATGTAGCTAGTTAGTACCCTCCCTTTCAACCTCAGACAAAAAGGGCTCTTTCTGTCTTCACTTCATTTTCTAGGTTGCTGTTTGAGTACAAACTAGATTAGGTCTATTAGGACATGACTGAGCTGTTGTCCCATTCTGATTTTCTGCTGTGAATCTGACACTTCTGAAAATTCACAGATGGTAGGCTAGATCAAGTAGGGAGATTACTCAATTAACCATGACACAGAATATCCAGACAAGCACCATGTAAGAATCAGATTCTACTTCCCTGTCTGCTCAAGGGCCAGTCCTAGGCTTACTCATTCACAAGATGACAAAGTACAACAGGTGATGACTCAGAATTCACTTCTGACCTAAGTTTTCTGATCCTTTAAGGACACAATCATCAGATAAAAACAGCATCAGGTGGACTGAACTTATTAAAGCCAGTCAACAGGCCTCCAGCTCCACTCACCCACACTGAGCCTCTAGTGCAGGTACACAGAAAGCTGGGGGGAGTCATTTCAATGTAAAGAACAAAGCACCCTAAAGGGCTACCCACTATTTACTAAGCAAAGGACATGCCTGTTGCACATTTTTCTGCTTTGCTCAGAAATGCAAACTGAGATAATCCCAGTACGTTGGGAGGCTAAGGCAGGAGGATAGCTTGAGGCCAGAAGTTCAAGACCAGTCTGGGCAACAGACCCCTGTCTCTACAAAACATAAAAATGAAAATAAATTTTTTCAAAGAAATGCAAATTAAAAAAAACCCTCTGATTAGGTAACCAAAGTTATACAACCAGAGTATGATACCCAGACCAATTCTGAAAAGAGCAAGCTTCCTTCTGGAGTCAAATAAACATTAATAGCTCCAATTCTAGAGAACCTAAGACTATTTTAAGTGTGTTTGTCTTTAACACAGAGGCATTTCCAAAAGATGAGGCTGGCTGCCCTGTCAGGCCTCCTTCAGCTCAGGTGAAGCCTCTCCCTCTCTCCCTCTTTGTCTAAATTGTCACTTTTTACTGGGAAGAGCTCACAGGAGGACATCTGCACACCCTTGATATGTGTAACTGCGCATCATGTTGTCACACTGGAACAAGGGGAATGGAGTGGCTCATGTGGGTAATGAAAGTTCTTAAAATTATTAGGCACTCTATCCTTAACCCCAGCTGCTGATGAAAGGAGACATATATCAAAGTCTGTTTTCCTAACCTTATGAGGAGAATTTAAGTGAGCTGTTTCCGCTCCAGGGAGAGGTCTGGCGACACACATCAACCCTCAGCAACAAGCATCCAGGGAAGTCAGGACCTTGGTTTTATTGCTAAGGGTGTAGGAACTAGAATTAACTGCAGCATTTTGGGTCTTCACAGAGTGGGCCCCCCTCCTCTGCCAGGACCTCCGAACTCTGCAGAGAAAAACTGGGAGTGGGGTCCAGTACTAAGGTTATTCCCCAGCTTTAAAGAAAGCTGCACGTGATTTTAAAGCCTCGCCTCACCTTAACTAACAGAAAGAGGGGTGGGGGGCGGAAGGCTCACCAACTCGCACTGAGAGTAGGCAGACAAAGATCACCCCAAATGCGTAAGCGCGCGCTGAAGCCGAGGCAGCAATGCACATTCCATCAACCTTTCACTGTAGCCGGCTTCCTGTGGGGTTTATTCCCCCACCGCAGCCCTCTCCAGAAAGTTTAAGGCTGTTCACTTCGTCTTTGAAAGGTCCATTGTTCCCTTCCCGGTAAACGTAAAGAAAAGAGAGAGGGAGAGAAAGAAATCAAGACGCGGTTCCCAAGGACCCTTTCTTACGGAGAGGACTGACTCCGGAAGAGTCTGGTTACTCCTAATCCAGAAGAGACCGGGAAAGGAGGCGCACCGGGGAAGGGCGGGAGGTCGTTTTCCACTTCAGCAGAAATGCCCAGCGCTGGAGCGGGCCAGGCCGTCGGGAGCGGGGAAGGTGTGGGGGACCCGGGTCCGAGCCCTCGCTGTGGCCCCCGGGACAGCAAAGGAGGTGGGACGGGGGGCGAGTGACTCCGTCGCTTCTTACCTTCCCCTCCCCCGCTTCGCGTCAGTCAACTCAGGTGCCTACACTGCGGTCCAAAGAGACGGAGCGGGGCTCCTGGTGTCCTCGGGTCCAGATCTCCTCTCCATGGCCAGGGAGGCCCTGGAGCCCGCCGCCGCTGCTGCCGCTGCTTGCTCGCAACTGGCAGCCGCAGCCTCTGCCTGGAGGTGAAATACTCTCCTCCGGGGAGTGACGCGCACTTCCCTCCGCCTCTGCCTCCTCCTCCGGCCGCGAGCCTCCGGGGCAGGGACCTCGGCTCGCTTTCTCCCGGAGCAGCCGCTCTCCTTTCTCCGCTTCTTCCCCCCCGGGAGGAAGAGGAGGAGAATCGCGGCCCCGGCGGCGCGGGCCCAAGCGTCCCCGCGACAATAGGGGAGGAGGCGGGGGCGCAGGGCAGAGCTGGGTCCCAGGAGTCGCGCTTGTCCCTGGTCGGCGGGCGCCGCGGCTCGATAGGGTCGCGCTCAGCCTCCGCCGGCCAGACAAGCGGCCCGGCTCTGCTGGGCCGAGGACTGCGGATTGGGTGGGCGGGCGGACGACAGCGAGGGAGGAGGAGAGAGAGGAGGAGCCCGGGGCCAGAGGAGGCGGCGGCCTGGCCCGGCTCCTCCCGCCGCCCCTGCTTTCCGCGAGCTGTGGACGCGGAGGCTCAGCGCCACTCGCGGCAAGGGCGCAGGGAAGGCGCCCGAGCTCACGGCCGGCGGGGCAGGGTCCCCAGCCAGTGCCCCGAGCTGCGGCTGCAGGCTCCTACCCGTGCCGGGCGCGCACCTGGCCTGGCAGAACCCGAGCCCCGGCTGCCATCGCCCCCAGCCAAGCCTGGTACCGAGCCTCTGTCACGCCCTGGCTGAACGTGACACTACGCCCCCAACGTGCCCCAGCTGAGCGTGACCCCGGTGCCCCTGTCACTCCGCGACTGAGCGTGACCCTGCGCCCCCAACACGCCACGACTGAGCGAGACTCTGAGCTCCATCGTCCCCGAAGGAACTTCCACACTCCCGCAAATTTTCTGAGCGTCTGGTCACCGCACCACGGCCGCCCCCACCTGGCCAGCCACGGGCACTGGGTTCTCAGCTCTGCGAAGAACCAGCCTGCTCGCGGACTCAGGACAGCTCCTCTGGTAGCCCGGAGCAGCCCGGCGCCCCGCTCCCAGGCCAGAATAAGTACACCTACGTCTCCCCACGCCCCCTACCCGCGCCACTCTGGAGTGGCTGCCGCTGGCCGGGGTGGCGCTGAAAGCCACTCCCCGGCCCACCCCAATGCCGAAGTGCCTCTCTGTGGACGCACAGCACTGCGGCTGGAGGAGCCGGGCCGCCGCCGCCCCTCCCCCTCGCTGGAGCTGCGCTCGCAGAGGAAAAGCCCCGGCTCCGCTAAGGGCGCGGCCCGGGCTCGATCCGTCAGACCCACGAGGTCTCGAGCTAGAGACGGCTGCAGGACTGCCAAACGCGGGTCTTCGTCATCTTCTGTTGAATCCGGAATTGGAAGTTTTCCTGCTAGGGAACTCTCAGTAAATACTCTACAGGTAGGATTGTTAGTTTTCAGGGTTGCCCTTTTTCCTTGCCCCGCCACCTTCTTAATAAAGTCGTGTAACCATGACACGCTCAGCAGTCGGGAAAGAGAATCCCCTATTTCGAGTGTTTTCTTTCAAGACTTTGTAGAAGGAATGAGTGTTTCCAAACACTTATCATTCTGACTGATGATAACAATCCCCTGCGGCACTTTGAAAATATTGGCGTCCCAGACAGCGCCCAATCTAGAGGTGAATCAGAGGTGTCTGGAATATGTAAGTTTGGAAAACTGTGCTAGAAGGCAGCCTCAAATTAATTAAAGCCTTGGAAAGATGCCTCCAAAACAGCAGCATGATTGAGTACTGAGATCTTACAGAAACCTTACCCAGCTGCCTTTGGGAGCACTGTCGCTTACAGGAGAGGGAGGGAGGAGAGGTTTTTAAAACAAGGCTGTTGGTTTTGCATGACAAACTGGAAGGGTCAAAGGCTATTTTTAGTGGTCCAAAGGTGAAATGTTTAGGACCATGCCTTATGAAGACAGGACCGAAACTGTGTCACCCCGTGGTAGGCTGATATCAGATTCTAATCCCTGGAACCTGTAAATGTTTCCTTATATAAAAACAGGGTCTTTGCAGATGAGGTTAAATTTAAGGGTCTTGAGGTGGGGAAGTTACTCTGGGTTATGGGGTGGACCCTAAATGCAATGACATGTACCCTTATTAAGAGGGAGGCGGAGGGAGATTTAACACTCAGAGTTGAGGAGAAGACAATGTGACCATACAGGCAGAGATTGGAGTGAGGCTGCCACAAGTGGAGGAATGCCAACCGCCACCAACCACTGGAAACTGGAAGAGGCAAGAGAGGACTCTCTCCTAGAACCTCTGGGGGGAGCAGGGATCTGCTCTGACACCTCGATTTTGGCCCAGTGAAACTGAGTGCAGTCTTCTGGCTTCCAGAAGTGTGAAAGAATGAACTTTTGTTGTTTTAGGCCACCAAGTTTGGGTAATGTGTTATAGCAGCCACAGGAAACTAATATTCCCTGAATCCTGTGCTGTGCTGACTTTATATGAAAATGCCTATTTTCCAAATCCTTACTAAGTGCCAGGAACTTTGCTTTGAGTTAGGATACATTATCTAATTAAATCCTCTCAATAATTATTACTTGAATTTTGGAGATGGGACACCAGAACCTAAAAAGTTTAAATAGTCTGCCTAAGGCCACGCAACAAGAACTATTGAAAGCAAGTCTGCCAACTACTCAAATGTTAAAAACAGTAATTAAAAATTTATGTAAACTATTTTAGCACAATTTTTGGTACTTCCACAGTCTCTATTTATTGCCAAAACCAAGGGAAGTGGCTGTTGATAGTGGGGAACCCTGAGGGGAGGGTTATAGGAGAAAGACTATTAACAAAAAAAGAAGGATTGACTCTTTGTATAGCCTCTTTTTGAGAATTTTATAAATTTTTGTTTTTCAATATTTATCTAGAACATGAAAAACAAAAGGAAACTAATGTGAAAGGAAGTTATGAAGGAGACCAACAAAGTGAGAGGACAAAGAACTTCTGTGATCAATGGAATTGAGGTCACAGATCAGGTTCCCAGGGAAGCAGGCTCTGAGACAGAGGGGCAGGATGTTCACTGAGGAGTGCCCATGGGAGCAACACTTGTGTCATGGGGGCAGGAAGCAGGATGGGCAGAGGGAGAAGCTGAGCTGCAGTGGGCACCCAACAGCCTCCACCGGCCCTACTGGGGGCTCTGGAGCATGGTCCTTTGGAATTATTGGGCCTAAATGGCTGAACCTTTAGATACCCTTCTGAGTCAGTCATTGGATGTGGTCCATCCTGGGATGTGGCATGACCTTGGGCAAGGCGGCTCTGTATCGGCCACCTACCTGCAGACAGCACTCAGAGCTGGGCAGCAAGTCCTCACTTGCAGGCAGATCTGGGCCATGTATCTCCATGTCACCTGCTTACATGGTATGTGACATCCTCACCATCGTGCTGTTTTTTCCAAATGAGGAGACAAAGCCCCAGGGTGAATGGGATGCTTACCTTACATATTTTTTCCTGTCCATGACCATTCGTTCACACAAGATAGTGCATTGCCTAAGACTTGAGACCCTTCAGTCAGATTGCCTGAGTTAGAACCAGGCTCACTAGTATAGCTCGCTAGTATAATAAGATGCTCAGCCTCTCCATGTCTCAGGGGTTTTTTTTGTTTTTTGTTTTTTCATTTTAAAGTAGGACTAATAGCCAGGCACAGTGGCTCGTGCCTATAATCTCAGCACTTTGGGAGGCCGAGGTAGGAGGATTGCTTGAGGCCAGGAGTGAGACCAACCTGGGCAAAATAGCAAGACTCTATCTCTAAAAATAATAATAATAAAAACAATTAGCTGGGCATAGTGGTGCCCACCTGTAGTCCCAGCTACTCAGGAGGTGGAGGCAGGAGGATCACTCAAGCACAGGGGTTTGAGGTTGCTGTGAGCTATGATCAGGCACTGCACTCCAGCCTGGGCAACAGAGTGAGGTCCTGTCTCAAAAAAATTAATAAATAAAATGGGCATAATAATAGTACCTAGACCATGAAGCCATTCTGAGAATAAAATATGGCAATGCTGTGAGGGGCTTAGCTTAGCTGCATATCTCATAAGTGCTCAGTAAATTGTGTTATTGGTGCCTCTGGTCATGTCTTCTTTAGCCCTCCGTGATTGGCTACATTGGAATTTTATAGCAGGTTACACTCACAGTGAGTTCTAGGTGGGAATAGGAAACTGAGTGTTCTTGGGATCCAGGTCACAGGTGAAGGCCATGAGATAAATACAATATGTACCCACTAAAGGAAGCTGGAACTTTCTTTGTAATGGTGAGAAACAGCATCCACACTCTGAACATGCCTTGTTCTTTCAAGGCTCTCTGCCTCTGTACGTGCCACCCGCCATTTCTCTGAATTGCTGGTGCTCTCCTTTCTACCCTGGTGGCATCTACCCTTCACCACACTTGACATTTTATCTCCTGAGAACTACAGCAAATGTCACCATCGCTGTGAAACAGCCTGTCCTCCCCTCAGCTCCAGGGGCTCTGTACACACACACCTGCTGCAACCCCGACCGCACTGCACTGCACTGTGTGAACAGTCTTACCCACAGCCCCTCCTGTCTTGCCCACTCCCCTGCAGCCAGGAGACCAGGCCTGAAGATTTCCAGATTCAAGATGGAACCTTATACATTGTTAAATCCTCAGGGCTTGGCACAGTGCTTGCTGAGTGGCACTGCTTGCTGAGTGGCTGACAAAGGAGTTGGCAGAAGCCTTTGGGAAGGGGAAAAGGACCAAACACCACAATATGGAAAGACCTTGTGCGCCTCTGTGTTCAGCATTTCCAGCCTCTGCCGGCCTTGCATTTTTCAGCTCCAAACGCTTTCAGGACAGAAAAGAGTTTGACTATCACCCACTCTTCCCCTTTCTGTTTTCCCCCAGGCTGTTAGAAATTAATTCCTTCAAACAGTGTTTCATTCAGTGAGGGTCGGAACAGATCGTTTTTAAATCATGTTTTTCTGTCCATACTTGTTCCTCCTACACCTGGTGTATGGGTGTGGAAAGGATCCTCCAGGTGACTAATGCCTCGCTAGGAAGGTGTTGATATGCGGTTTGCCATCCTCGCCTTAATTAAAAGTCTTAGAAGAATTTTTACCCCATTGGCCCCGTGTAATAACATTACAGAATGTTAGTGTGACCTTTGCGGTGGGACAGCTGCGTGTCTACGAAACCATCTTTTCTTTCTTGGTTTCCTTCCATTTAACCAACCTCATTCTCACACTTCATTAGCTCACCAGGAAGGCTGCGTATTTCCTGTCAAACTCTCTGGACCCTTGCTTTAAATTATGATGTAAGCAACTCTGATACAGTATAGCTAAAATTCTGACACAATCTTTTCAGAGAAAGAAAAAACATTAATGTATTTTATTTTAAACCTCTAAATTCTATTCCATCCAGTAGGAATTAAACCTCTTTTCTCTTTCTCATTCAAAAACATGACTTTTGGCCAGGCGCAGTGGCTCACACCTGTAATCCCAGCACTTTGGGAGGTCGAGGTGGGAGGATTGCTTGAGGTCAGCAGTTCAAGACCAGCCTGGGCAACACAGCAAGACCCAGTCTCTGCAATAAATAGGAAAAATTAGCCGGATGTGGTGGCGTGCGCCTACAGTCCCCGCTATTCCAGAGGCTAAGGCAGAGAATCACTTCAGCCCAGGAGTTTGTGGCTGCAGTGAGCTGTGATCGTGCCACTGCACTCCAGCCTGGGTGACAGAGGGAGACCTTGTCTCAAAAACAAGAACCAACAATAACAACAAAACCATGACTTTCTACTCTGAAAAAAAGTGCTATCCCTTCCTGATTCCCATCTAGCATCTACAAAATTTGCACAGAACCCTTTTAAGTTATATACTCTTGGTATTTTTCTTTATGTAAGGGATTTTGCTATCTTTTTTATTTTTTACTGAAAAAATTAACAGTTTATTATAATTTATTTTATTTAACAATCTAGGAAGTTCACAGCCATGAGCAGTTCCAGTGCAATTTCAGGTGCAATTGGGAATTCAGGAATCTCCGTGGAGCTGTTAGTGTAGCGAACCTTGTAGGTAAAATACATGCATACTTTTGATAGCACATGTGAAGGGATCTCTCTAAAATTGACCTCATTGGTTTCGTTCTCAGCAAACTGACCTGGGCCACTCAACATGGCTTTTATTGTTCCTGATGTTAACGTATGTTCTCTTTTTACAATAAATTCATGACCATCAGAAGATATCAATTTGACATACATGGCATCAGGGCCTTCACAGCCACCATAGGTTTTCTCCTCTCCATCCATTATGTTCTTAGGAAATTCTACTTTGCTTCCCCAGGAACTTTAGTAGCTTCTCGTCAGCCCTGCAGGCACCGCAGCCACTGCAGCTGGGTCCCCGGGAACCGCCACAGCCCCTACTCCAGGGCCTCCCCCTCCACCCCCCGGATTTTGCTATCTTTACCTAAGTGGTTTTCTCTTGCTGCTCACGCCCACAACAAAGAACTAGAGGAAACATTTTCCCAGTTCTCATTTCACAGGTGAGGACAGTGTCCATGAGAAAGGAAATGAGTTGCCTGAGGCCACTCGGCTAGAATGAAATTGCTTCTGTAACTTATTTTGGATTGAGATTTTCTTAAAGCCAAGATATATGCAGTCTTGACACTACTATCTCACGAATTTACTGTATGAAGTTTACATGATCTGTATAAACCGAAGACATAGACACAAGAAATGTGTCTTTTCATTATATTCACATATGGATGTGTATCAAAAGATTTTAAATAATTAATTTGCATAATAATTGAGAAAGCAGTTTTTGTATACAGATTTTAATTTGAAATAATATCAGTATCCCAAAGTCATGCATTATCTCCGGGGTTTTATCCCTTCCTTCCTGTTCCTCCCTTCCAGGCAACCAGAAAAGAAGTATAAACACACTTACCTAGAAAGATTAAGAATCCTGTGAACTTTTCAAAGGAGCATAATTAGAAAGGAAAAGCAAGATTAGGAGTATCTTACTTGCATAAATGCATAGCTGTCAAAATTTCTCCAAAGTATATTATGTAAAAACACTCTAAATTTTGCATGGTTATTATCAAAAGCTTACTAAAGTGCAAAAAATAAACAAATCCCGGCAAAGCCTCCCAGCCAGCTGGGCAACAAAAGAACTCTCCAGGAAACTTGAGCTTACCATTGATTTGAAAATCCACAGTTAACAACTTGTCAGAAGTTATCCTCAATCCAGCTCAATTCCACAAATCTCTCTCTATTTTAACATTTCTACACTTCTCTCTAAAGAAATGAACATGAGGGCCAGGCAAGGTGGCTCACGCCTGTAATCATAGCACTCTGGGAGGCTGAGGCAGGAGGATGGCCTGAGCAAAAGCGGGACCCCGTCTCTAACAAAAATAGAAAAATTATCGGGGCATGGTGGCACATGCCTGTATTCCCAGCTACTTGGGAGACTGAGGCAAGAGGATTGCTCCAGCCAGAAGTTTAAGGTTGCAATGAGCTATGATGATGCCACTGCACTGTAGGCTGGGAGACAGAGCAAGAACTTGTCTCCAAAAAAACAAAAAAATAAAGAAAAAAAAAAGAAATGAATATGAGACTATTTTGAAAGATAAGATTACTGGATTACTATGTGTGACAATATGTTGATTAATTTGATTATGATAATCATTATACAATGTATATGTATATCAAATCATCGTGTTGTACTCCCTGAATATATACGACTTTTATTTGTCAGTTATACCTCGATAAAGGTGGAAAAAAAGATTATTTGAAATAATATTAACAAACTAACAAAAATCATATTTTCTGTTTCTAAGAACACAATGAGAAAATGCCATTCATGACAAAAGCGGAAAAATCTGATTTCATAGTGCACCTGGATGTAAGAATTTTCCACATGATTAAACTGAGGCATTGTTTTCAGAAAACCACTATTAAAATATACAAGGTGCTTTAAAAGGGAGGAAGGAATTTCAACCTTCTCCATGGTCATGTTAACACAGGGTCTTTTGTAGATGAGCTAAACACAGCTTAGAAAACTCAGAGCTCAGTTGTTTATTTAATAAATATTTGTTATTGGCCTACATACCAAACACTGCTAGACTCCTGAGGGTGAATAAGACAACAAAGCCCCTACGCTTTAGTTGGGGTTCCTCCCTCTAAATAAAGGAAATTGACAAGTAAACCCATAAGCAAATGATAACATAGCCTATGATAAACTTTCTAAAGGAAATAAAATTATGAATATTGAGTGGGATAGAAGTTACATTGATGGCCTTCTATAAACCACACTTCCCAATATTCACATTCTTGTGAGCTCCCTCCCACACTGACTCTGGACTTGGCCATGTGACTTGCTTTGGCCCATGCAACAGTGGAAGAGTGATGGAAGCAGAGACTTCAAAAGCACTTGCCCGAGGACTTGGGGGCAGGGCAGGGGAAGGGGTGTTTAAGATAATGTGATCCGGAAGACATTTCTAAGGAATTGATAGTTAAGCTAAGGTCTAAAGAATATTAACCCTGAGAACAGAAATTTGAGGAAAAGGATAAGTTATAATGGTGAAAAAGGAAGGATCAGAGCAGGTTAAGGCTTAAGGACCTTATTCAATCCAGGCTTGAAACATTGTGGGGCCAGGAGAGGCCAATGGCAAACTTTCTTGCATAATTTCTGCTTGGATTGCCCTTATCCAAATATCACAATAAATCAAAAGAAGTCACAAGGTCCAATAATTTTTTTGAACATTCTCTTCACTTCATATAGAAATGTAGAGTAATTGCTTAGTTGAAAATCAGCAACAATTTTAAGAAGGCCAGGCAGCGTTCATTTCTGTGTCCTTGGAAGCCCTGGGTTGCCATGTAAAAACCCAGCTAGCCTGCTGGGAAGACCACATGGAGAGAGTGTTGCTCCTTTACTTCTTCACTATACTGAGAGGCCCCGTGTGGAGAAAGAGGACCAGAGACAGAGAGAGAAGACCCAGTTATCTCAATATTCCAGCTGAGTCTTGCCCCCCGAGCTTGCCCCACCAACAAAATGCAGCCATTTGAGTGACCACTGGCAAGAACAGCAGAGGATGTGCCCAGCTGAGCCCAGTGCAGATTTCAGAAGAGTGAACAAATAAAATAGCTGTTACTTTAAACCACTAAGTTTGGGGTGGTTGTTATGTAGCAATAAAGAACCTCAACCAGTCTTCTTAAATGGAGGTGATTTTGTCCCCCAGAAGATATTTAGCAATGTCTGGAAGCAATTTAGATTGTAACATTCAGTAGGAAGGGTGCTACTGGTATTTAGTTCACAGAGACCAGGCGTACTGCTAAACATCCTGCAACGCACAGGATGAAAAAATGCCTGGTCCCAAACGTTAACAGTGCTAAGGTTTAGAGACTCTGACCTAAACAAAAGATATAAGCATTTATGGTTCTGAAAGGTTATTGTCAAACAATTTTCCACAGAGGCAATGCCAGTGTGTTTTTGCTCAAGAACAACATTTGAGAATACCTCTTTTCCTACCCTCCACCAGCAGTATATATCACCAGGTATATAGACATATATAATAGAAATAACTATAGATATACATATAGACATATACCTATTTTTGCCATAGGAAAAAGTGATATCATAACTTTAATGTGTATTAATATTTCTCCAAAAATAATTTAGGGTGAGTCTCTTTTCACATATACAAGAGCCATTTGTAGTACCTTTTCTATAACCTATCTATTCATATCCTTTGCTCATTTTTCTACATAGCTGTAATTCTTTTCCTCATTGATTTGTAAAAGCCCTGTATGTATTAAGGAAATTATCCCTTTGTTTATGATTTGAGTTGAAACTATGCCTTCCCTGTTTAGCAGACAAATTTAGAGTGATAAATAACTAGAAACAAAACTCTACAAGAAAACCACACTTAGGTGAAAAAGAAGTCTGTAAGCTGCCACTCGAACCAGTGAAAGAAACTAACAAATGATGCATTGAGAAAAAAATACTAATATTCTGGGGTCTGCGACCGCCAGTGATAGCCAACTACCACAGAGACTGTGGTTCCTAACAGGGAAAAAATAATTTCACAAGGTTACAACACACTATATGCAAAAATCTACCATGGTACCCAGTATATTTTTGGCACTGCATTTCCTTTCCTCCCCCCAATCATAAAATATAAGGAGGTGGGCCAGGCGTGGTGGCTCACACCTGTAATCCTAGCACTCTGGGAGGCCGAGGCGGGTGGATCAATCAAGGTCAGGAGTTCGAGACCAGCCTGAGCAAGAGCGAGACCCCGTCTCTACTAAAAAATAGAAAGAAATGATCTGGACAACTAAAAATATATATATAGAAAAAAAATTAGCCGGGCATGGTGGCTCACACCTGTAGTCCCAGCTACTTGGGAGGCTGAGGCAGGAGGATCGCTTGAGCCCAGGAGTTTGAGGTTGCTGTGAGCTAGGCTGACGCCATGACACTCTAGCCCAGGCAACAAAGCGAGACTCTATCTCAAAAAATATATATATATATATATTATAAGGAGCTGTATATGATAGTTGGAATTGACCAAAGGTTAAATGGCTTACTTCTTGAGCTAGGGAGTTCTCTATCCCTGGAGGTGTTTAAGAAAAGACTAGACAGCTACATGTAAATAGCAACACTTATATTATGCATCCTGTGAGCCAGGCACTGTTGTGTGTGTTTTATAGATAGACAGTCATTCTGCTGATCCACACAACAACCCTATGAGGTAGGTATTAATATTATCCACATTTTACAGGTGAGGGAACTAAGACAGAGCAGCTAAGTAACTGGTATGAGATAATACAGCTAGTAGGGACCAGAGATTTGAACCCAGGAAGTCTTGCTCTTAACCACTTTAGCAACTGCATGTAAGCAATAGAGTGAAGGACATTTGACTATTGTTGGGTGGTTGCCCATGTCAATGACTTTGATGTTCCTTCCAGCACAGAGATCCCACGGGCCCATAATCTCAGTAAGGTGTGAACAGCTAAAGGGATTCAACCATGACAGATGGAGAAACAAGTTTAAAATGGGAAGTAAGAGATGCCCACACCTGGTGTGGCTAAAGAACCAGAATCTTCCATGCCCGGATAGCGCATTGCTAAGAGCTGGGGCTGCTCAGGCAGAGAGAAACGCTGGCAGGGCAGCCAACCGGAGATGTTTCCTAAAGCCAGGCCTAGGTGTCACCAGTGTGACAGGGCAACCAGTCATCCCTCCATGCTTTTGTGCTTTCATTTACACATTTCATTTCATTACAGGAAATAACAGTCAGCAGCACAGTGGCTCACAGCGTGCACTGCAGAGGCGCTGATGCATGGAGGGAGGAAAGGGCGGGGGTGGGTGAGCAGGTGTTTGTG